AAGGTCTACATGCAATCTACAGTGTCATTTGAGGAAAGCATAAATTAGAAAACATAGGTGCCATTGTAGATTGCATGTAGACCTTCTGTTGGTTAAAATCCTGTCAGCTGACACATACTTTGCTTATAATAATTGCTGTGAGGTTAACAGCTTCTTTTGTCATATCTTTAACTTCCCCACTTGGCGCACTATTTGAACAAAATGAGATGCAACAAATAATGATGATAAACTGATTGACGAGAGGCTTTTTGTTTTGATGGATTTCCCTTAAGAATTAAGCCCCAACCCTTCCCTTACCATCTGTACTTAGAACAGCTGTTGCTTATTCCTTAATAGTATGCAGATTACCAATGCAGTTAGCCCGAGGCTGCTTCCATCTCATGTCCATTCTTGCATCTAATTTCCTAAGTTCTTTAGACTTTATTGCAAAATCTCCCTCTCCAGCAGGCTTGCAGATGGACCAAACAACATAGTGAGCACGAAGCAGAGCAAATAGTGCACAAAAGTGGTATTGGAATCTTTGGTCCCCAAAAAAAAGGAATTATTCACAACCCCAATTATTCATTTCACATGAAAGTTTATACAAGAACTTTTGTTTATTTATAAGAATGTTTGTGAAAAATGAAATTGATGAATACCTAAGTAGAAGTTTGCTTAAAGATTCATACCAGAAGTTGTTCACAGATTTAAAGGCCAGAAGGAACAACTATGATTGTCATGTCTGACTTCTTTCCTAACAAGGCTACCTATTCAAGTAGCCATCTTGAAATTTCTTTGCTTTCCCATTAGGGTTGCCAACTTTCTACTCGCACAAAACCGAACACCCTTGCCCCGCCCCCTGCCCCGCCCCTTCTCTGAGGCCCCACCCCTGCTCACTCCATCCCCCCTCTCTCTCTCGCTCACTCTCCCCACCCTCACTCACTCATTTTCACCGGGCTGGCTCGGGGTTGGGGTGCGGGAGAGGGTGAGGGCTCCGGCTGGGGATGTGGGCTCTGGGGTGGGGCCACGGATGAGGGGTTTGGGGTGCAGATGGGGGCTCCAAGCTGGGGGTGGAGCCAAGGGGTTTGGAGTATGGGAGGGGGCTCTGGGCTGAGGCAGGGGGTTGGGAGGGGGTATGGGCTCTGGGCTGGGGGTGCAGGTTCCAGAGTGGGACCAGAAGTGAGGGGTTCAAGGTGCGGGAGGGGGCTCTGGGCTGGGGCAGGGGTTTGGGGTACAGGGCTCTGGTGTGGGGCTGGGGGGGGATGATGGATTTGAGGTGCAGGAGGGGGCTCTGGGCTGGGGCTGAGGGGTTTGGAGTGCAGGAGGAGGATCAGGGCTGGGGCACAGGAGGGAGTCGGGGTGCAGGCTCTGGGCAGCACTTACCTCAAGCAGCTCCCAGAAGCAGCGGCATGTCCCCCCTCCAACTCCTACACAGAGGCACTGCCAGGTGGCTCTGCGTGCCGCCCCGTCCGCAGGCGCTGCCCCCGCAGCTCCCATTGGCTGTAGTTCCTGGCCAATGGGAGCTGCGGAACTGGCGCTTGTGGCAGGGGCAGCATGCGGAGCCCCCTGGCTGCCCCTACACATAGGAGCCAGAGGGGGAACATGGCACTGCTTCCGGGAGCCACAGCAGGCAGGGAGCCTGCCTTAGCCCCTCTGCGCCACTGACCGGACTTTTAACGGCCCAATCAGCGGTGCTGACCGGAGCCACCAGGGTCCCTTTTTGACCAGGCATTCCAGTCAAAAAACCGGACACCTGGGAACTGTATTTCCCATCTACTGTTTGTAAAAAAGCTACAGTCCTCCAGTCAGGCACAAGAAACAGTACCATGCATCCTAGATGACATATACTTAGTGAACAGAAAATAGATGAAGACCTAGATAAAGGAAGTTGGTTGCAAACAATGACAGGCTGAAATGCTTTCACAAAGTATTTGCTGAATAATTCTGAATGCCGAACAAATCTGTAAAAGTCAGTCAGTCACCAGTGCTGCAGACGCTTCTACACTGCTTATCATTAAGCACATGAATACTCCCACTGACTTCCATGGAACTCCTCCTGAGTTTAAAGTTAAGCACATATGCGTTTGCAAGATTGAGACCTCAGTTTGCAAATAATTCATGAACAGAAAAAAAAGGAATAAACTACCAGACAAGTCATTGTGCTCTAGTAATGAGTCACTATAAACAAGGAAGAAGCCAAAAATGTACAAGTTATAATTTTTAAAATTTCAAGCATTTTAAAATGTGGTGTTGGTCTGGGATTTTTACATTTGAAAATAATTCTTGTCAAAAAACAAACAAAAACCCCCTAAAGGCTTCAAATATTCTTTCTAAACTAAGGAACTAATTTAAATTTAATGTTTCAATTAATAAACCATTATTTAATTGAATATATCTGCTAGAGCTCTACTAGAGAGTGTTTATAATTTAACTCTAAAAAGAGTTTTATTGAATCCCTGAAAAAATAGAATTAACAAATATGTATATATTAAATCAGGCCAGACTCTATCAGCTGAATACTATTAGACATTTAATATAGTTTAGTACTAAATATAATAATTGCAGGGTATAAACGGATATTTTACAGGACGTGAACATTTGCAGAGTCCAGGGTTTAGTGACGGCTAGTCATGTCATTGAATTAGCTACTCAGACATCAAGTAATGGAAATATTAAGACTATCGAAGGAAGATGTCTGGCTCCTATTAGGGAATCTTTCACTATAAATTCATCACTACAGTCATCAGTAACAATGCGTTTTTAATTGGACAAAGATGATTTAAGCTACAAAATTTAAATCCATGTCCTAATTTCCATCCCTCCTCCTCAAAAAAAACCCTCTTAGCTTTTTAATAGCAAAACCAGGAGGTTGGTTTACTCTGCTCTAGAGGTAAGAACAAACAATTAAATACAGATTCAGGTTTAGATGCAGACTGTACTCCTCTTTTTCCTTCCTGCATGTTTGGAGTATTTTGGGACCATCTCTCTCTTTTTTTTAAAAAAAAATGGCCAATATATCAAGTAAATTGAGCAACTTTAACTTCTGCTTTTGCACAGTCTATATAAGAACATAAGAATGGTCTGACCCAGTATGGCCAATGGTCCACCTAGCTCAGTATACGGTCTTCCGACAGTGGCCAGTGCCAGATGCTTCAAAAGGAGTGAACAGAACAGGGAAATGTATCAAGTCATCTACCCCGTCATCCGGTCTCAATTTCTAGCAGTCAGAGGTTTAGAGACACTCTGACCATCTTGACTAATAACCATTGATGGACCTATCCGCCATGAACTTATCTAATTATTTTATTCACCCATCATTTTAATGGTAATGACATTTAAAATATCTATAACTGCAAAAAGGAGGAGACTTACAGAAAGCATGTGTTTAGGATATTTTTATGACTCCATAACACAGCCTTTGGCCTACTTGTGGATTGTTACTAATGACAACATATTTCCTGACTATCCCATAGGAATTATAAATATGAACAAAGCAGGAGTTACAATTTACTGCAAGCAGAACTCAGGATAAACTGAATGTTTCTCAGTAAGATGCTGTTTTGTTGTGGTGGTTTTGTTTTTAAAGAGGAAGCATGTATTTCTTGTCATTGATTTAGTGTTTTCCTATCAATATGTGTTCTGCAAAATGGCACCAGCATTAATACATTTTTTGCAGTTTAATGTTATAAGTACAGGTGATTAAAAAGTCAGTATTTTACCTACTGTTACTACACAGTGGTATATGAGATACCACAGTTGTGTCCTAGTCTCCCTTTTGTGGGGAGGGGACTTTTTATTAATGTAAAGTTACAATAAGACATTAACATACTTCATTATATATTATTACTTATTAAGGATCAGCTTAATATTCAAAGAACCTGGCTAAAGATTCTGGCTTCCTAGTTGGAGAGCCCTCATTCTCCGAGTATGCTAAAAAGGGTGACCAAATTTTTTAAATGGCTATCCTCTTTTTGGCACTTCTCTTGCGTATATACTTGGTGTAAAAGCTTTTCTAATATGAGGACAGTATGTATTTTACTATTCCATGATTCCATTGAAGGAGAAGTAATATTTTCCCAATAATGTGCAATACAAGGTCTTGCTGCTAACAATAAAAAAAAAATTTAATTTGTCATCCTGTTTAAAATGTAGATCCTTTACTGGAGCATTCGGTAATCAGGTCAGGGGACCTCGAGGAAGGTCTTTTAGTTTCCTCCCAAAACTGTTTTATTCTTGGACACAAACTCCACATGTGCAAATAGGTTTGCCTTTCCCTGCAGCCTCTCCAATGGAGCACCTTGTATCAAGTTGTATCCTAATTTGAGCATAATCTCAGATACCACAGTGGGATAACAGTGGGTAAAATACTACCTTTAATGGTGACCGCTGGAATTATAAGGAAGAGGAGTGTGATAGTGGAGTCAGTTTAGCTGTAAATGTTTGATATGAACTGCTCTATCTTGCTCTAAGTCCCTGTAGAGATGTACAATTGAGGACCCTGTTCCTACATTAAAGTTGCCAAATGGAGTTGGTAATGGCTTTAGCTCTGTATACAAGGAACAATATGTATCTTAGGAAGAGATGATATGGACTAAGTCAATCATGCTCAGCTTTGCCAAAGAAAACTGAATTAGAATTTTCCCATGAACTGGAGGGTCACCCCAAATTCACATAAAAGAGCAGGGTACAGCTGCTCTCATTTTCCACTACAGGCACATCTGTTGAGACTACCAGCCCCAAAATGCAATGATTGATCTACATCAGAGTGGTCTTCTGCTCAGATCATGATAGAGCATTTCATGCTGGGATACGCAGGCTGAACCGCTGTAGTAAAAATGAGCAGTCAGGGGACACACTAGAATTCGTGGGCCACATTTGGTTGCTGGACACATTTTTGCCCACCCTTGGAATAGGATGATCTAGACATCAAGTGAAATTCAAGTTAATAATACACTACACTGTTTTCTTTGGAGGTATAGACATGATCACATGTATCCATTTTGGTTGTTTGCATTTGAAAGGTTCCTCTCTGGCCAATGGAGGCCTGAATCTGCACAGCACTGTGAAAAGGAAACTGGATGGGGAGAAAGATTATGTCTTTGATAAGAGACTAAGGTACAGCGTGCGTCAAAATGAAAGTAACTGTCGGTTCAGGGACATTGTGGTCCGGAAAGAAGATGGTTTCACACACATTCTGCTCTCCAGCCAGACTTCAGATAACAATGCACTGACCCCAGAGGTAAGCATGTAGCCATAAAAGCAAAAGAAAGCCATCTTAATAGATGGGAATGTGGTTAACCTGAAAATTAAGGCAACGCTCAATCTGTATTTTTAGAGGGTGGGGTTCCCTATTGAATATCTTTTTAAAATGTATGGAGCTCAAATATTCCATCTTTCCATGCTTGGAATTTTATCCAGATGGATCTAACTCTTATATGCAATGGAAATTATTTTTTCAAATAATTTCTCCGCAAATAAAAGATGAAGAGTAAGAAAAGGAAAGATGTGATCACTAATCCCTGCCTGCAGTTTTAAGAAGTAGTTGTTCAAATGTAAAAATTACTACCCTTAATAATATGTTTGATTAGTAGTGCAAGGATTTATACACATATACATCTCAAATCAGGATCTTATCTCAGGATAAAAATTCAAAAAATTAAAAGTCATCTTAATCCTTCACTGCTTTTATTTAATTGTCCATTTGACATTTTCATGCATTGTATTCTTTACAAACTGAGGCCCCAACCCTGCACTCAAATGCACAGGGATTCAGGGTGTCTCTGTATAAGTGATGTTATTGATTTCCATTGAGTCAGTCATTCTACATCTAGGATTGTTTTGTCTTGTTTATCAAGACTTCTATTAAGTAACAAATGTGTCATTTTGAAATTAATTCCCAATAATTGAACACAGCTAAAAGCATTGCCAAGCACATTAGGCCTTAAAGAAAAAGTCCCTAAAACCGGGACTGTCCCTATAAAAACAGGACATCTGGTCACCCTAGGGCTTAGTAACAGGGTATCTAGCTTTTCACATCTAGCTTGCGTGTTTAAAACCCACAATTTCAGCAACGAGACCAAGGGCCATGCAGTATGGAGCAAATCTCTGGTCCCTAGTGTGTGGTTTCTCCTAGGCAGGGTTGAGACAATATTCTGCGGGTGAACACAGAGCTTCAGTCCCTAGGGCTGTCAGTTTGACACCTTTTACCAGCACTAACCACACATGTGCAGAACACTTACAGAGAGTGGGGAAGAGGGTTTGGTTTTGTTAAAAGTTCCTATGTTCATTTCAGACTCTATTAGAAACATAGGAAAAAACGTTTGCTCAAATCTGCTTAGAGCAGGTCTAGCTGACGTGGAAGTTAAAACTTGAGCTGCAGAAGGGGAGACAAGAGAGAAAGTGTGAAAAAGCGGGAGGGGGGTGGGGGGGGGGGGTAATAGGAACCTATACAAGAAAAAGACCCCAAAATTGGGACTGTTCCTATAAAATCGGGACATCTGGTCACCCTAGCTGCAGCTGCCATGGTCGCTGCCACCAGTAGAGTAAGTAGACAAGGCAGCAAGGCTTGTGCAGCCCAGAATCATTATAAACTATACATTACACAAAGGCCCACTCTCTCCATAGCTTCTCTGCTTTCCATTGTGATTCCTCCTGACCCAGCCACAGCTGGACTTCCTTTGGGCTTTAGCTGTTTCGTTAAACTAGTGATTTACGCTGTTTATCCCCACTTAATTAAAGATGTCTAAAAACCCAAAGGTTACATATTATAGAGTTCTCTGCACGTGTCAAAGCAGAGCCAAGCAAACATTTGCCTGACAAAAGATTAACCTCAACTATGGTATGCAATTCAAGTTATTATCACTAGGCTTGTTGATATACAGAGTAAAGGGAGGTAAACGAACACTAAATGGATCATAATTCATTGCTAGTAACTACATCATAGTTGAAGTTAATGCAGCTGATTTTAGCATAAAACATGCCTATGTTCCTTTCTTTTAGGATTTGCATTGATTGTAATTGGCTCAGTGCCATTGTGGTTTTTGAAAAAAAGATTCAGATTACTAACGGGATTATTTCCTTTTATCTTTAACTAGACATTGCTCATTTTGAAAAATTGTAATTTTGCTTTGGTATTTTATTTCATTTTTTAAAGAGAGTCATGCAAATTTTCAACATAAATTCCACCAATGGGTTATTTAACTTCACAGGTCACTTGCTAATTTTGAAGAATTGATTCCAACTTTTTTGAAAGTTTATTACCTAAACATATAGAAAACTTCTGTTATTGTTTTTTAAACTCAACAGCTTTTGGTAATCCAAAATCTGTTTCAGACCCAGGAACATGGTTAATCCATTGTTTTTATTCTTCCTAGTTAGGGTAACAATACTTCTGGGGATTAATAATTTACTGAGTTAAAAAGCAGAAGAGTAGATGAGAAAATATATTCTAGATTGATGATGGCTTTAGTAAAGATTGACAAAACTACTCCATATGCATTATGAGTCAAAAACTGAAAGTGGAGGTACACACATGAAATACCAACATTCATTCTTCTAGACATGAAAAAATGCAGTGCTTGTAGTGTTGTGGATATATGTCACATCACTGGTTTACTTGCACTCTTCTCATGAAATATGTCAGGTTCAAGTTGACAGCTATCTGTATTATTATTCTCCTAGCAGACAGATTGCTTCTTATGGCAGACTTCAATCACAAGTATTGCCCTATCATTCCAGTAGAATTTATCATCCATATAATTTATCAGATATCCTTGTACTGGAAAGGCTATCAAAAGTAATCACTGCAGAATAGTTATAAAAATGCTACCAAGGGTTTAGAACGTTTTGCTCATTGTAACATTTTTAGAGAATGTTTCTCTTTTAAAAATTATATATATCAGCAAATGGACCATTACAGTTTCAAATAAATACATGACATTTAATTTTTTAAACCTGGTACTTCTATTGGTTTATACAGGTTATGTGTAGGCGAGTTTAGGGATAAATTCCCAATTCACTGAGACTTCCTGAATATAAGCAAAGTTTAGAGAGAAGTCTTTAAAAACACCCATTTGTAAGAAGGGGAGGGGAGAGGAGAAATAACTCAACTAAGCTCTTAGAAAGATAGTAGTCTAATTTTTTTTTAGCAGTTTAAGTACATTTTATATCCGTTTATAAAAGGGAAATCTTGCCAGACAGACAAACCTGGTTGCTTTTTTTATAGGACTACAAAATTAGCAATCTAGAGAAAGCAGTAGTTTTAATATATTTGGATTTCAGCAAAGCAGTAGATGCAGGACCGAGTCTCAGCTGGCCCAAATTGGTGATTTGGCTGATTTACACCAGTTGAGGATCTGGTCTTGTGAATTTTTGCTCATAACATTAAATCATTAATTCAAATAGAACTTGGGTAGGAATAATCTCCTGACAAATGAAAACTGGTTGAAGGGCCATAAAAGAAAAGTTAAATGATAAACAGCAGTGTATTGAGTTGGGGGAGATATCTACTGGGCCACTGCAGGAATCAGTGCTGGATCTGGTCTGGATGACAAAATAAACTACATTTTAATGAATTTCACAAATTATATTAAGTGGCAGGAAGGTGAAAATAAATACCAGAGAGGCCAGAGAAATAGTACATGGGACCCTACAGAGAGTCTGGAAACAGACAGAAAGAATATATTATACTGAGTTCAGTGGGGAGCTCTGCTTAAAAAAATAATGGCATGAACTGGACCAAAATGATATTCATGTTGGAATATTGCCAGCATTCAGTTGTGTAGCCGAGAAGTAGATTTTGTGCTCATCCTGTATGATTATCAATAAGTATGCTACGTCTATTTATGTTTAAACATCTATAGGAAAACAATCTAAAACACAGATATTCAATGAGAAGTGTGGAAAACTATAATGCCAAAGGAGACTTAGAAGAGTCTGATAGCGAACTGCAAGTTAGAGACAAATGTGCACCATGGAATAGTAGAAAGGCCAATAGAATTTTAGGCTGCACAGAACCAGGGAATTCTGGTAATCCAAGTATACTCTGTTCAGCTTCTGAGCACATCTTTACTAAAGAAGTATTGACAAATTTAGAGAGGAGCAACAAAACTCATCATCAGGAGACTGGAAGGGCTAACCCACGATAGGCTTTCTAGGGTTTTTTTCTTTCTTTCTAATTTTGGGTGTTTATATTAATATGAATTATATCCCATTTGTAGGGGTGAAAATAAGTTCTCATTTATATTTTTTAAATGTTTTCCATTTTAAAATGTCAGAAATTTGGCCTCCTCTGATTCAACTTGATCCCAGGGACTGACCTTTAAAGTCCTTCGGCTCCCTCTGCAAACAAACAATCTTCAGCACTGGGGAGGGGGAGGGAATTGGGATGGGGGAGGAGTGTTGTGTACATTTAATAAAACCTTTTCTCAAATTGCTGCTTCTGTGTGGTTTTACAAATTAAAACATAGATATTTGTTCTGAGGTCCAGAAGGAGGTGGGAGGCAGACCAGTTGAGAGTCTCTGGGTAAAAAGATAAAAGGGGTAAAAAATAAGGTGACATCATGGTAGGGGTCTACTGTAGACCACCAAATAAGGAAGAGGTGGAGGATAAGGCATTTCTAGAACAAATAACTGAAATATCCAAAACACGAGACCTGGTAGTAATGGGGGACTTGAACTATCCAGACATCTGTTGAAAAAGTAATTTGGCAAAACACAAAATTTCCATTAAGTTCTTGGAATGTGTAGGGGACAACTTTTTGTCCCAGAAAGTGGAGGAAGTAACCAGGGGGGACAACCATCTTAGACTTGATTCTGATCAACATGGTGGAATTGGAAGTGAATCTGAAGGTGGAAGGCATTTTGGGTGAAAGTGAGCATGAAATTATGATTTCATGGTTTTAAGGGAAGGAAGGAGTGAGAGCAACAGAATAAGGATAATAGACTTCAACAAACTCGTAGAACTGGTAGGTAAGGTCCCATGGGAAGAAAATCTAAGGAAAAAAGGAGTTCAGGAGAACTGTTAGTTTCTCAAGTAAACAATATTAAAGGCACAATTGCAAATTATCCTGATGTGAAGGAAAGATACGAAGCATAGTAAGAGGCCAATATGGCTCTAGCAGGAGCTTTTTAATGACCTGAAAAATCAAAAAGAAATCCTACAAAAAGTGGAAATGAAGACAAATTGCTTAGAAGGAGTATAAAAGAATAGCACAATCATGTAGGAATAAAATAAGAAAGACTAAGGCACAAAATAAGGTACACCTAGCATGGGACATAAAAGGCAATAAGAAGAGGTACTTTAAACACATTAGGAGCAAGAGAAAGACTAAGGAAAATGTAGATCCTCTGCTTAGCGGGGGGAAAAAGAGCTAATAACTGATGACATCAAAAAAGCGGAGGTGTTTAATGCCTATTTTGCTTCAGTCTTCACCAAGGAAGGTTAAATGGTAACCAGATACTCAACACATTTAATATTAATAACAAGGGGGAAAGAATGCAAGCCAAAACAGGGAAAGATCAGGTTAAAGAATATTTAAATAAATTAGATGTATTCAGTTTGGCAGGACCAGATGAAATTCATTATAGGGTACTTAAGGAACTAGCTGAAGCAATCTCAGAACCATTAGAAATTATCTTTGAGAACTTCTGGAGGACGGGTGAGGTCCCCAAAGACTGGAGAAGGGCAAATATAGTATCTTTGAAAGGGGGAACAAAGAGTTCCCAGGGAATTATAGACCAGTCAGCCAAATTTCAACACCTGGAAAGATAGTGGAATAAATTATTAAACAATCAATTGGCAAGCACATGGAGGATAATAGGGTTATAAAGAAATAGCCAGCATGGATTTATCAAGAACAAATCATGCCAAACCAACCTAATTTCCTTCTTTGACAGAGTTCCTGACCTAGTGGATAAGGGAAAGCAGCAGATGTGTTATACCCTGATTTTAGTAAGGCTTTTCACACAGTCCCACATGACATTCGCATAATGAAAATAGGGAAACGTGGTCTAAATGAAATTACTATAAGGCAGCTGCACAAATGGGTAAAAGACCTTACTCAAAAACTTATCAATGATTAGCTGTCAAACTATCAGGGGAAATTTGTGGGGTCATCCAGGGGTCAGTCCTGGGGCTGGTACTATTCAGTATTTTCATTAACAACTTGAATAATGGAGTGGAGAGTATGCTTATAAAATCTGCAGATGACACCATGCTGGGGGGGAGGGTTGCAAGTAGTTTGGAGGACAGGATTAGAATTCAAAATGACCTTGACAAACTGGAGAATTGGTCTGAATACAACAAGATGTGAAATTCACTAAATCCAAGAGCAAAGTACTTCATTTAGGAAGGAAAGATCTGCACAACTACAAAATGGGGAATAAACTGGCTAGGCACTAGTACTGCTGGAAAGGATCTGGGGGTTATAATGGATCACAAGTTGAATGAGTCAACAATGTGATGCAGCTGCAAAGAGGGCTAATATTCTACAGTGTAGAAACAGGAGAGTCGAATGTAATAAACAGGAGGTAACTGTCCTACTCTGCTCGGCACTGGTGAGGCCTCAGCTGCAGTACTGTGTCCAATTCTGGGCACTGCACTTTAGGAGAGATGTGAACAACTTTGAGAGAGTCCAGAGGAGAGCAACAAAAATGATTAAAGGTCTAGAAAACCTAACCTATGAGGAAAGGTTAAAAAAAACTGAGCATGTTTAGACTTGAGAAAAGACGACTGATGAGGGGACCTGATAACAGTCTTCAGATGTTGAGGGCTGCTATGAAGGAGACTGTGATCAATTGTTCACTGAAGGTCAGACAAGAAGTAATGGGCTTAATCTGTAGCAAGGGTGATTTAGCTCAGATATTAGGGAAAATTTTCTAACTACAAGGGTAATTAAGCTTCCAAAGAAGGCTCTGGAATCCCCATCTCTGGAGGTTTTTAAAACAGTTTGGACAAACACCTGTCAGGTACAGTCTACGTTTAACTGGTCCTGCCACAGCGCAGGGGCTGGACTTGACTTCTCAAAGTCCCTTCAAGCCCTTCATTTCTATTATTCTATCCATTTAAACCTAAGTCTAGAAATGTTTATGTGGGAAAATGAAGAGATCCAGATATACATATGGGCTAAGAGCGAAACAAGTATTTGAAGGATAACATCATCAAGGAAGAGAGAAATTGTAGATGTGCATATAAACATATTGGGATGGGAACATTAAAGTTGAATATCAGGAGGAATTAACTGACAGGAGAGTCATATCCTATCATCACATTTGAAGCAAAACTCCCCATTACGATCAACAGGAAGTTTTGCTTCTAATTTGGCCACACAACATTGCCCAAACATGTTGACTACATTATAGAATCTGCCAAGGAAACAGTGGAAGTCCCAGTGTTGGGGACACGTAAAACATTAGAAAATAGACTGACGAGAGCAATCTTATAATGGCAGGGAGTTGGACTAGTCAATCCAATAGAGCTCTACCTTACACAGTTCTATATCTTCTGAAATAAATGTTTAGCTTTGATCAGGTCTAAAATCACATGCAAAACTTTACGAGTAGATTGTTCTCACTTCACAGATATAACAAAATTTGCATATGCTGTTCTACCCAGCTGCATTTTTGCATGAGTGTGGGTTAATATTCTCAAAAGGACTGAGGCTCTGCCTCCATGATTTGGGCGTAAATTGCCCTCACAAAATTGGTGCTGCCATTTTTGTACATGAATTCTAGCTACAGAGCTGAGAGAACTTCTGCCTATAACTACCTGATTTTCACACACAGTCAGGATTGTAAGCACTCGAATGTGTACCTACAAAAGAGTTTTTACCTTCTGAAAACTTACCTTGCCATTTCTCATGTCCAAGTTTTATACACACTAGAATTCAGATCTTTTTGTTTGCACATGCAAATCAGGTAGACACCACGGTACATGATTCGCACAAGCAAATGCAAGCTTGTTGCCATAAATCAGTGTTTCCCAAACTTGGGACGTTGCTTGTGTAGGGAAAGCCTCTGGCGGGCCGGGCCGATTTGTTTACCAGCCGCGTCCGCAGGTCCGGCTGATCGCGGCTCCCACTGACCGCGGTTCGCTGCTCCAGGCCAATGGGAGCTGCTGGAAGCAGCGCAGGCCGAGGGACGTACTGGCCGCTGCTTCCAGCAGCTCCCATTGGCCTGGAGCAGCGAACCGCAGCCAGTGGGAGCCGCGATCAGCCAGACCTGCGGACGCGGCAGATAAACAAACCGGCCCGGCCCACCAGGGGCTTTCCCTACACAAGCGGCGTCCCAAGTTTGGGAAACACTGCCATAAATCATAGAATTTGTGTGTGCAAAGCCTGTCCAAAAAAAGTGGCATGCATAAAATTGCATCTCTACATTTAGTGACATTTTTTAAAATAGATTTGGATTAGAACATGTCTGTACAGCACTTCAGAGATGTAAAACACTTTTCAAGCATTAAGTAGTGAAAAGTAGTAGTTGCCACCTGAATGTCTTATTTCTCTACATCTGTAACTCATCAGGCCAAATTTTGCAGTCTTTGAAAAATTTACCTGTACATCCAAATCTTTCAGCATAAATGAGAGCAGAATTTGGCCCATCACGCTTAGGGGCCTGAATCGATAAGGCACTTAAATACCTGTATGTACAAAAGTTTAAGCAAATGCATAGTCTCGCTAAATGAAATCATAGTCCCACTGGAGTCGATAAGAAAACTCCCATTGATTTAAATCGGCAGGATTTCACACGTAGAAGTCAATAAGAGTAGTCAGTCAACAGGGCTACTCACATGCTTAAAGTTATATATGTGCTTACATGCCTTGCTCAGTCAGGGCCGGAATGAAAACTACCTGCAGAAATTTATGAAATATTATTCCCCTTCTTAAAATGATTAGGAAAAATGTTGTTCTTGCAATAATAATAGCCTCTTATTTCAACACCAGTACATCAAGGTCTTAAAGATTTTGACTAGTGTTTATGAATAATTTGATCTAATAGTAAATCAAGCGGTAAATTAGTCATCTTTCTAGTGGCTTTTATTACGATAGCATTTGTAGACTTTAAAAATGTCACTGACCATAGCACTATAAACAATAAATTAGCCATAAATCTGTGCATTTAAAGTTGTATTGTTCCACCTGACTGATACAGACTACCCTAACTGAACTGGTGGAAGAACTGAAGACCAGGGTTTATATGTTTCACTCAAACACAGAGCTTACCATGCTATTGCTGTGGTAACAACGTTGATGGTACAATGATGTACATCCGTTTATTTTTTTAAAAGTCATAGGAGCAAAACAAGAGCCAAGAAACAAGAAATCTGTTAAATATCAATAGAATAACACAATTTAGGTAACCAGAATTTCCCCCATAGGATAAGCAAAGAAATGCCACCTTGTCAAAAATGGATCTGAATTACTGCATGTCTGCAAAGCACTTCAAAGATGTAAGAGCTTTGTAAACACTATTATAATTCAAATAACTTAAGTTACAATGGCCAAAATATACATCTCTAACAACAAGTACAATTTTATAAAGCAAGATAAATTATCTTGCAAAAGCATGCATGTCGAATTGTTTACTTTTCTTTATCCACAGATCATGAAGGAAGTTCGGAGAGCATTGTGCAATGCATCAGCTGATGACAGTAAACTCTTACTTCTCAGCGCAGTGGGAAGTGTATTCTGTAGTGGCCTAGATTACTCATATTTAATTGGCAGGTTATCCAATGACAGAAGAAAAGAAAGCACTAGGATTGCAGAAGCTATAAGGTGACCCAAGCTTACATATGATCTCTAAATTATGAAATGCAGTGTGTGATTATAAAAAATATCTGTCAGGTCGAAGAGTGTTATATATTTAAGTGTTGATTGTATGCTAATTTCAGTCCTACAAATTCATTTAACAAGAAAAAGGAATGGATTTGCTGTAGCTTTTTCTTATGAGACAGAACTCTTTTATTTCCAGTACAATGTGTTAAGATTTATTTAGTTCCACTACCTCAGTGTATTTCAAAATTCTTCCTCAAGTCTCAAATTCAAATTGAGATGTAACTTTGTTTTTTTAAATTAGCTGTGGCTTCATGTTTTAACATTGTTCCTCGAAGCCACATTTTACTTGTTTCAGTTTTCATCATTTTAATGAGTTTCAGTACAAATGGGGATCTATGACTTAGTCGTGTTATATTAATATAGCAGGCTTCTAATGTATTTCAGAACCTTATTAGAAAGGTTTCTGATATTTTTCTTACATTTAAATCATGTAATTTATATGTAAATGTAGTTCTATTTGCATAACTAAAATGTGGTTTTGCTTAAAATATCAGATTATTTTAATAGAAATCCAGGGTTTATGAAGTGCTGTCTATAAATCAGTCTACACTATAAACCATCAAATGTTCCCATTATCCACAATGGTATAAATATATGACCAGATCTTCAGGGGATGTATATCAGTGTTACTCCATTAGAGTCAATAGAACTACATCTTTTTACACCAGCTGAGGACTTGGCTCAGACTTATTATTTCCTACAAATATGTATTCCTCTTTTGAGAGCTTTCAAATTTTATGCAGTACATTCTGACATTATTATGAAGGAATCCAACTAAAGGGGATGGTCTGCTATAGATCTGGACTTCAGCTATATTAGGACAACTTGTTTTATTGTTTCATGATATAAATTAACAGAATTATCTAACGGAAGCCAAGCCATTTTAGTAATGACCTCAGTCTGTTGATTACCAGTGTCTTAGTTACTGCTGTGACTATTGTCAGTTTCAGGGCAATTGCACCTGTATTTCTTAGGGTCCCAGCAGTCACCTCTCTTGGGCAGAGACCCGCATGTCACTCCATCCTGACTGGGGGTTCTTTAAGGTTATACAGTTCCCTGCCTACACTGTGATCTCCCCAGCAAGCTAGACTGCCAAAAAAGCCAGTGTTGGTTCTTTTCTTTCTCCCCGGGGGCTGCCACCTGTGTATTGCTGTCAGTTATAAGTTATCACACAGCTCATTCTAAGCAAGCACATGTATTCTTAAGATAAAAGCATTACAGGGAAAACATTAAAAACAATAAAAGAATCTACATGCATGCTGAAAAGGTTACCAGAGCTCACCCCAACTCCAACCTTGAGCCCTGGTCAGTCCTTCAAAACCCACAACTGGGTTTTCCCTGTGGTAATAAGTTCATAATGGTCTCAGATTCAGAAGCAGAATCCCAACTGCAGTACAACTATTTCTTTATACAGCTTGGGCATGTGATCTGCAGTCTCCTGGAACAGATAATCAGCAGACAATTACCCATTCCTTAGGGCATAGTTTCAAAAGGCTGAGTTTTTGCATAACTGGAAGTGGGGAATTTGCATTAACCTCTCCCTAAGTAGATTTCCTGGGGAATACCTCACATTTAATGTCCCAAAGTCCATTCTTGTCTGGCACATTTTCAATGTAGACCTTTGAACTCCCGGACTTCACTTCACATCTGCCTCCTGGAGAGGCTACATACAATCCAAAATATATAAGATTTGCATTGAATACAATGGACCCCAAAGACACTTCAACTTAATTCAGTAAGGTCTCCCAAGAATACACAGGAAATTGCCATATCTGTCACAACTATTACAGTACAATTTGGATACTTCTATTAGACATTTCTGAAACTTAAAGTAGAGAAAAATGAACGTCTTGTAAATTTAATTATATAATATTATGGCTTAAATTTTCAGAAGTGTCTTGTGAGGCTGAGGACACCTGAAGGAGGCCTAATTTTTATGGGATGGACGTTCAGCACTTTCTGAAAATCAGGCACCTTCAAAGTGTGTCAAAATCACTAGTTATGTATGAAATTGTGTGTGTGTGTGTGTGTGTATATACACCCATACACACACACAAACACACACACCACAATCAATATGTAAATACTTGTTTAATGTTTGTTTTATAAATATGAATGACTAAATAAACATACATTTATACACACAAAAATCCCATAGATGTATAGAGTCATACATATCCAGTCAACATTTAAACAAGTGTGGACCAGACTGTGATACTCTGACTCACATTGGTAGTGCCTTACTCCACAAACAGTCGCATAGATTGTAAGCTACTATTCAGTGCAAGGAAGGGTATTGCAATATGGCCCTGTATAAACTGCTCAATGAAATCTGGTATGTCCCTCATATAGGGCCTGACAACAAGCAGTGAAGTCAATTGGATTCTTATTTAAAAGGGGTGTGGATCAAGTCCTTATACAGTCCATTTTGCCATCCTTTCTTATGTTAAAATCAGTAGTAGTCTCAGAATAACATCATTCCTCTCAGCAAGAATTTCAGATTCTGGCCCAGTCGGATTAGATTTTATGAGCATGGAAATACAATATTCTTAAACTTTTAACTTAAATGTCAATGCTTTTCTGTTGTTCAATCATTCCCTGAAAAGGGAGAAGCAGTTAACTGACTGATACAAAATAACACTGTAGAGAGAGAGAAAATGTTGCTTTATCAGTGGTTAGGGTGCGCCAGTGTATAGTAACTTACCCGTGTCCATTCTCTGTATCAGCTGAGAGTGGAATGTGTTCATATCAATATTATGAGATGAAAAGAATAATTCTCACAGTGTATTCTTTCTGTCTGTGCTATAGCTCTCATATGTTGATCATAGCCTAAAACAACAGGATTGCAGTTTGTTTGTTGCACAGGCCCTTTAACGGACTACAAGCCCTGATCCTGCAATGAGCGTGCTGTGTCCATGCCAAGCTCATTGCAAGATTCAAAAGTGCACATGAAGACCATATTTTCATGTCTCCTCTAGTAAAAACAAAAGCCTTCCAAACATAACATTTTCCCCTTTCACTGTAATAAGTTCCACTGTGCAACAGTGTTTACAACTTCCAGTGCAATTCTAAGAATGTCCCCTCACATTCTGCTCTCCCCTCCTGGGGTCCCCCTTTCTCCTTATAAGGCTGTCTTGTTTCTGCCAGGCTGCAGACTGTCTCCCCATGCAGCGTGTTTAGCTGCTGCCTCTGATCTGTGAAGGCAGCTGCAGGGGCAAAGGGAGTTTCCTCTGCCTTCTGCACTTAGCAGTCTGGGAGTCTTGATTTTCCTCTGCATTAGGCTTTTCCAGTTTCTGATCTGTACCAAAAATCAATAGGCTTGTGCCCATTGGTGCCCAGAATACTCTGAAATTTTGGAATTGATCAAGGTCACATTAGAGGCAGAGAAATGCCCTTGAGTTAATCATTGGGCCTTGCTTTGCTCAGCGAAGCGTGAACTATAATTCCCCTTAATCTCCTCCTTTTCCAGTAATACATCTTTGCCTTCTGAGCCCATCGATACAGTACTCTTTACTCTACTTGCCTTGCCTAGTAACCTGTTCCGGTTTTATTGTCCATTGTATGAGGCGGAGCTCCTGAACTCCCTCTTCACTCCTTATTTTCTCATGTTCAGACTCAGGCCTCTTAATATTGATCATGCTGTACCTCTTTGAAAAACACATCACTGTCACTGTCAGTCCCTTTCATACATTGTAAACGCTAATATTGGGTCAACTCAAAGTCTCCTCTCTTTTTTTATTTTGTTGTTGTTGAAAATAAACCCCTTTCTCTTATATCCCAATCCAGCATAGTACCTAAGGACATGCTTAACTTTAAGCCTGTATGTAGTCACATTGACTTCAATGGGGCTAGTCACATGGTTAAAGTTAAGCATATGCCTGTGCTTTGCTAAAATCAGGGCCTTAATCTTTCCATGAGATCTGCTTTCATCTCCAGTATCCAAATCCTGCTCTCAGATGCACAAGTATAGGTCCCATTGATCTCAACAGGAAATCTGCAAGCACATCCAAGGACAAATGTCTTTAAAGGAATCATGGTCTTCCAAAACATACTCCATATGAGACATGGCAGTAATAGTATCACCTCTTGCTTTGCATTTTCCTTCTGCTAATATAATTTTGTATTTTGTTTGCCTTCTCTCTTGCTGTGCACTGGTTTGATGGAACCCATAATTTGTCCACAATTATACCCACACTTTTTCCTGATCAGTGTACAGACTGTTCTGTTTCGCAGAGATTCCATACCCTTGTTCCTAGAAGGCAGGTGACTTATTTCAAAGCTCTTATTGCACTAAATTTACTGTGTTCTCACCCTCTCACCTAAATGAGCCAACCCATTTTGCATTTGACTGCATTATTTCTGCTTCCCCTCTTTTATCTCCCCCCATCAGTTCAAATTTGTTGTAAGAGGTGGGACAGGGAGATCTTTGTTATACCTTAATCTAAATCACTTCTAACAAAGATCCAGCAAGTGACCTCTGGTTACCACTCTAATAATCTCATTTCAATGTAGTTTTTTCCAATCTGTGGCTCCCCTTTGTGTCTTTCTCTTTCAGCTTGTGTGTACTCTTTAGATCACCCTGTTTTATCTCTATTCCATGGCTCAGTATGATACCTTACCATTAATCTTTGATGCAGAGCCTTGGGTTCTTTAACGTAAGTATACAACAGTGCACTCATTGAGTTTCCCTCCTCTTTCATTTTGCAATATATTTAAAGGATTCCATCAAGTTAGCTAAGCAAGACCACCTGAATCCATGCTGGCCTTCCTTGAATAGAGTGAGAGCCACTAAGTAATAATACTAGCCCTAACCATACCGCAAAAAGGTACCATGTTCCAGGCATTCCAGTTACTCTACACAAACCAAATACAATTTAAGAGAAATCATTTGATATTCCATAGTATTCTTATAAATTAATTACAGACAAATCAGCTGAAGTGTTCATCTGGGGAAAAGCTCAGTAGAAGGCATAAAAACCGAGCAAGGCATTTGACATTCAGATCTGTTTTCAGATACGTAGTTTAAACTCAAGAACTAATTTAAGTGTTTCCCTATTCAAGAACTTCCTTTTTTTTTTATTTTAGGGATTTTGTAAAAGCTTTTATTCAATTTAAGAAGCCAATTGTAGTTGCTATCAATGGCCCAGCTCTTGGGTTGGGAGCTTCTATCTTACCACTGTGTGATATCGTTTGGGCAAGCGAGAAGGCTTGGTTTCAGACCCCATATGCGACGATCCGACTCACTCCAGCTGGCTGCTCATCGTATACATTCCCACAAATACTGGGTGTTGCTCTGGTAAGGCACTTTTCTCCTAGAATTGCTCAGCAGGCTTGGTTAATTCCATACTGTTTTGCACTGTTTTTATGACTGTCACAGAATTTGACACATTTTACAGTCTCTGGTTAAGAGAGGGACATGAGAAGAAGGGCCATTTTCAAGGATGTGTCAGGGAAGGGACAAATTGCTTTGGCAAAGCTAAGGTGGGAGGTTTCAAAGTATCTTTCTGCACCATGCTAGACTCATGCAATAGCTAGTTAATAGGGTACACTGGGGCTTTACACTGCTGTCTGCTTCACAAGTGTAAATCTGGAGTAATTCCATTAGTCACTTAGTTTACCCCAGTGTAAAAAAAGATCAGAATTTGACCCCCATAATAGCTTATACTTGCTGTCCTGGATCAGTGTCGTATCATTGCCTATATACTGACAGTTACCCTTTCAAAATCACTGACATCACTATGCTGATATGAACAGCTAATGTATTTTTTTTAATTTGCCCATACAATGCTTAGATGTCACTGCCAAAAACACTTTATAAGTACTTCTCACTAAGGAGAAGGATGAAAATATTTGCAAGTCTTATTTGACCATAGCACCAGGCATATGTGGTCTAAGACAGAAGGAAATCACCTCCCAAGAGCTTGAGTGAGCCTTTTCTTTTGCAGGCAAATGAAATGTTGTTCTGCGGGAGAAAGCTAACAGCACAGGAAGCCTGCAGCAGAGGACTTGTGTCACAAGTATTTTGGCCAACAACGTTCAGTCAAGAAGTGATGCTGCGAGTAAAGGAAATGGCATCTTGCAGCGCAGTGGTAAGAAATCTATCAGTTTTTGTTTCTATCAGCGAGATTACAACTCGTATTAAGGAATTAAATAGAAACTTGTTCAGTTATAGGCAAAAGGAATTTAGAACTATAACTTCACTGAAAACAGGGAAGGTGTGCTACAAGGGCTAGGCATGTACTAGAGAACTAGATTCTCAACTCCTGTAGTAAAACCTCTGGAGAGGAGAGCTAATGGAAGGAAGTCTGCTCATGGATTTCTTCCCAGGTTGTTTCACTTCCTCTTCCCAATATGGAATGGATTGCAGGGCTCATTGATGAACCAGGGGGATCCACACATAGAGCCAGGGGGTCAGCAGGAGACCTGCACCTCCATGTGGACTCTCTGTCCCTCCCTGAAGCTTCTCCTCTGCTCCCTGCAGCATGGCTCCAATGGAGTTGCATTGCCACTGCCTTTAAAAAAGGGACACCCTCCCACCCCAGTGAAGGGGAGCCAGTGGAGGGGAGGGGAAAATGTATGTCCCCATCTCCTGCTTTCATCCATCACCAGGCTGCCAATTCCCTCCCCCCCCCCCCCTTCCCCCCCCCCCATAGTTTCTGACCCCACAGAGCATTCTCTTGAGGTCCATGTGGGAGAGGTGAGATCCATGCAAGGATCTTGGGAGCCAAATCTGGTCCAAGGGGTTATTACTTCCCTGTTTTCTAATTGCAGCTTAGTGGCTGTTAAAACCTCTGCATAGCCCTCACTTTCCAAGGCCCTTTTCCCATGTATATTCCTGCATCAGCCCCATCTAAGCTTTTAAAAGAAATGTAATGTAAACAGTAACAATTGAAACCACAGCCTCCCTAAAACAGCACTAACAAAATGAAAGCAACTGGTAGCCATTTGTACTTAATTCTTTAGTTATACTGCATGCCCCTGGCATTCTTAGGGCTTGTCTACACTTACATTGTATAGCGCTCTTACTTGCTGGCTCAGGGAAGTGAAAAATCACCCCCCTGAGCGCAGCAAGTCTGAGCGCTTTAAAGCGCTAGTGTAGACAGGCTCCGAGCACAGGGAGCCGCACTCCCAGCACTCAGAGGTAATCCCCTCGTGGAGGTGGATTACCAGGAACGCTGGGAGAGCTCTCTCCCAGTGCTCGCACATGACCACACTGGCACTTCAAAGCGCTGCCACGGGAGGGTTCCCGCGACAGCGCTTTGAAGTTTCCAGTGTAGCCATGCCCTTAGCATTCTTTGACTTCACTTAAAAGACCTGTCGTTCAAGGCACAGTAGAGGCACAGAAGATTTTTAATTAAATCAAGTTTAGATTACATCTCGGAAAAGACACTCAGAACTAAACCCACCATGAATTGGTCTTTGGAAATGCAGCATAAGCTTATCAGATCAGGCTGATACGTCCTATATTATATGAGCTGGGAAGCGCTCTGAATCTCATCCTGCATTCTCCATTCCCCCACACACGGATCAGGTGTACAACAGCATCTTCTACTAAAGTCTGTTAGATTGAAGGAAGGTGTTAAGATAGGTGTTAAGCAATGGTCTCAAGTTGCAGTGGGGGAGGTCTAGGTTGGATATTAGGAAACACTATTTCACTAGGAGGGTGGTGAAGCTCTGGAATGGATTACCTAGGGAGGTGGTGGAATCTCCATCCTTAGAGGTTTTTAAGGCCCAGCTTGACAAAGCCCTGGCTGGGATGATTCAGTTGGTGTTGGTCCTGCTTTGAGCAGGGGATTGGACTAGATGACCTCCTGAGGTCTCTTCCAACCCTACTTCTATGATATGACCAAGCATGAGCTACCTATCAAAAGGGTTAAAAGTTATAAAGGAGTTAGGAGTCTAGATTGAGCTCAAAGTAGAATATAATGGTCTCATTCTAGTTCCTTGTGGACAATTGTGCATAAAAATACAAAACAAAAACCACCATAAAGAAAAAAACCAGCAACCTTATAATTGACCTGTTTACAGTCTATTGAGAAGAAACACAGTTCTGGAATAGTAACAAGTTACAGTGCAAAACTGAGAGGATACCTTAGTCTAGGACTCAGTTGTTTGGTACAGCTTGCTCCCTTTTGTCTCCCTTTTCTACAAACACTAACATCTTGTATTAACCCCCTGCCCTTAGAACACAGTGAAGCATGGAACATATCCCAATTTCATTTAACTAATAGAGTTCCTTTGGGGTTTTGTATGTAAAAAAAAGTAAAGAGAGACAACCTAATTTGGCTTAAGACAGTTTCTAAATTAAGGCGGCCTAAGTAAGGCCCCCAGTAATGGAGGCACCTGAAATCACTATTTACTTTTGAAAATCTTGGGACTGGTGCATAAATACAAATGTCTGTGCTGAGTATCAGCAGCTTCCACTGACTTCAGGTGGAGTGGTGGCTGCTTAATACTTCTGAAAAATCAGGTCCAACTTCTCTACACCACGGAGATAATTATTTAAGTGGTAAAACACTGTTAATACTGCTGTCCATAATAAGTCGAACAGATCAAAAATTTAAAAACACCTTTGCTAATATTTTCACTTTAGGTATTAGAAGAGTCTAAATGCCTAGTGCGGAGCTTCCTGAAATCTGGACTTGAAGATGTGAATGAAAAAGAGTGTCAGATGTTAAAACAGCTGTGGAGTTCTTCCAAAGGACTGGATTCATTATTCAGCTACTTGCAAGACAAAATCTATGAAGTCTGAAGTCATAGCTTAACTTCGAGAGAAAACATTCCAAGTGTAAACAGAGTTCAAACATTACCTGTGTTTGAAAAGCAGAGGGAACGCATCCTTGAGATGAATTTGTGACAGTGTATCTTAATACATATGGTTGTGTCAATTTCCTTGTGAGTTAAATTGAGAAGTTACACAGCTGCTTCTAGCTGGTTTGATTTTGTGTAATCAAGATGGAGGCAGGCTTGGTCAGCGCACATAAATTCTACTGAGTGCTGCATCATTCACATGCTCATCCAGTTAGAAGTGTACATTCCACGTGCTGAAAAGCACTACTGTGGCCCAGTAAGGCACACCATCTGTAATGATTTATTTTGTCTGTCCTTTTTTTAACTTATTCTTGCTTTGCAACAAATGTCTGTGCTGACACTGAGGGCTCGATCTGAAAATCAGGTCACAGTAACATTCTGCAGACCCAGATTATTATACTTCAGAAATCTTTTAATTATTTTTTTAAGTTCTAACAATGTAATGGAAAAACCTGATAATTTATGTGTATAATATGTAAAGTTAGTTTTGGGGAAAAAAAAACTACTAGGATTTTTTTCTTTCATTAAATTTATTTAACTTATTTATTTTATGTTTGTATGCAACTGTTTATTGATCATATAGATATTATTTTCATACTTCCCTTGACTGGATTAATGGTTTCACATGAGAATGCAAGTAGCCCAGTGCATTTTTAACAGTGAGCTGTGTATACAATAAAGAACATACAGAAATCACCAAATGTCTGGGCACTAAAAGTGACAGCCATGTACGTGTTCCTTTATGTGTGAAATTGTACAAAGATGTATTGAAGTCGAGTCATAGTTTGTTAAACTTGTAAAGGAAAATCAGTGGCAGCTGCAATAGTGAGTCCCACACAAGTCTCTCTTCACTTCCTGCCTTTTTGAGGAGCACTGAAGGGCTTGCCAACAAAATGCTTTAAGTTTACTATTTTCTTATTAGCTGGACATTAATAACAGGGTGTGTGGTGCCCTTATGTGGCATCATAGTGTTCTTCAGGTTTAAACATCTCCTTTTGGTCTGAAGTCTACAAACAAACCCTTGTGAGCCTTAGTCTATCTGCCTGATTGCTCAGTTGTGGGATAATTAATACTCTGGAGGCGTCTGGGTCTGGGATAGGAGTTTTATAAAAAGGTGCTAGGTTTTGAACTGGGTGGAGACAGAGTTTTTGTTTTGCTTTTCCAATACTCCATGGCTGGCCACCCCATGATCTGGTTATGGGGAAGGAAAAAAAAATATCTATGGCTGTCCATAAAAACAGTCTGTGATAAGTGAAAGAAAAAAGAAAATTCTAATTTGCTGTTTTAAAATGTGACCCTAATATTTTTCAGCAACACTGACTTTTGAACACTGGATTCAAAAGTCTAGCAGGCAGTTAGGGAGGAAATAACATGAACATGTTCAGTGAATCGAACTGCCATATTAGTATGCCCAAATCAAAATCTCTCAAAGCAGAAAATTTGCACCTTTGTTTTTTTTAGTGATTTGTGCACTTGCTCTCCATCCTTGAGCTCACTGCCCAGATTACAGTTTAAAAGAACCACAAGTGAGTTGAGGGGTTTGTTTGTTTTTTCCTTACAATCTTTCAAAAAAGAGTCTCAATAAAGTCTTTGAGAGACTGCAAACTGACAATTCTAGTGAGCGGTAGGTTTCCACAAAGTCCATCCATCTTTTCGTTTTTCATAGTTAAAAGTAAAATACCTTCCATTTACATTCTATATATGTTCCTAGGGCCAAATTGTGCCATTGATTTTTTTTTTTTTAAAGCAGAGCGCTAGGTTGAAGTCATAACTTCCCCCCGCCCCCCAATTCTGCTTAGAGTGTAAAAAAATAAAAAAAATAAAAGGCAGAATCTGACCCGTAGTTAGAATTTGTTTAAATGTCTTCGAAATGCAGCATTGTACATGATTATGGAGTGACTCTTATTTTTCAGTGGTCTAAAATAAAGGGTAATTCTTTCAGTACAAATATGAAATGGTTGATACAGCACTTGTTATATGTTAAGGGTTGCTTACTTCTTAGGCCCCCTAGCAAAATTTAAGTGTGTGTTCAGGTTACGCACATGCTTAAAGGCTTTGCTGGATCAGGGCCATAGAACCCAATCATATAAGCATGCACACAAGTCCCTTACTTCAGTGGGATTAGTCACGTGCATAAGTGTTTGTACAATCAGGCTTCCAGTATGGGACTTTAGAAAAAAAATCAGGAAAAGTATCATGATGCCCCAACTTCCATTTTTTCTTATACTGGTCCAGAGAGGTACAACTCCAGGTCATGTAAAATACTAGAAAGTTTATTTCAATACTGTGCTTGTTATATGTTGATATATCTAGGAAAATTGCTCTCAGCAGCATGAAAATGCATTTTATCACAGAAGGTTTTAGAACAAAAAAGTATCATAATTCAATCAACTTTAAAATGCACCATTTCAATTGCATTTTCAAATATTCACTTTAGTATTTTGTTTGACAAAGGAATGGTTGAAATAGGTTTTTTCATAAAAGGAGCTAATCATATTTAATGTTTAATTATTCACATCTAAATAGTTACAATCTAGTTTCTATAGAATTTGTTTTTCTTTCAGAAAAAGGCTAATAATTTCAAAAGCTTCCTTTTTGAGTATTTAAGGCTCAGAATTGATTTTCTCTTCTGTTTCGGTCTTTACTTGCTATTCAGATACATAGATGTACTGTACATATTAGTCTGGGTACCTTTACTAATATTCACAGTATTTAAAAAAAAATGCAATTTGTTGTTAAGTATGTTATTTTATTCTTGTGTAAATTGTTTTGTACAATCTTTAAAAATCTGCAGTTTTGCATTTGTAGATATTCAAGGTAAGCAATTTATTTTGTGTTGTCTTGCATGTATATTTTTTGCTGTAGATAAGTGTTGTTTAGTTTACTACTTCAGTACATTTCTGTTTTAACCAATAAGCTTACAAACTTTAATACAGTATATATTTTCAGAATATAAACTTTTATATTTCTGTGGTAGGTTAGGGTATGCGTTTTAGGCAATCTTTTTCACTACTATTAATTGTTCTTTTAATCTATAGTATACTGGTTTTGTGCCAATAGTTTTTCACTAGAATAAAATGCTCTTTTAATGTTAGGGATATATACAGACAGGTTTGCTGGGGGTGGTGCGCAGGTCTTCTGTTTTGTTTTGTTTTTTGCCAGCCTTGAAGTAACTGAGTTTAAAGTGTAATTTATAAATTTATTGCATTTGTGAATAAGCCTTACCATTAGGTACAACAAATCTTAAAACTTCGCAACTGCATATGTAGTATTAAGGACTTCCCCAAGTAATCTCTGCAAAACAGTTGGCAAAATCAGAGTACAGGGCCTTAAGTTTTTCTTGTGAAAAGGATAATACGGGTTGGTTTTTTTTTTAACAACATAGTTAGAGACTTGTCAGTTTGGGCTTTGTTCTATATAAAATGTGCATATTGTTCTCCCAACCACAGTAGTTAATCTCAGGCTTTTTGTGGCTGGGTCTATAAAAGTCAAATCTGGCTAAAGCCAGCACTCTTTAGGAGACACTAAAGAAGTTTACATAAGAGACTTATAGACAATCTTAATCATAGTACATTTAAGTATTCAGTATCCTGGATGTGTTATCTGTGTCTACCCAGTTAACCGTATGTTTTAAGCCATATTAAATCTCTTTACCACTACTTTAATACTACACTGAAAGTCATTCCCTAACTTATCTACAGGTTGACAGGATTGTGATTTCTAGTGAATAAAAATATTATGCCTTCCATAAAAACAAAGGACCAAAGAACTACATTATTCTAACAAAGCATTAGTTACTTAGCAAGTGAACTAGTCTGACATTTATAGTGACGATCAAATGGTCTCTTCCTGCTACAAACATTTCATTCTCATTCATTTTAAGCATAAGGGGGGAAATGTATCCACTAGACTATTGGAAAATGAGCAATGTTCTGTTAAGCTGGCATGTCTATTGGTAAGGCTTATTACCAAACCTCTGAGATGAAGCAAAGAACCAAAAATTCACAAAATCTGTCTATGTAAATTTATTTGATTTCAAGCTAATAACTTGCACAAGAAATTAAAGGTAGAACTTTGCAAATTAGGCCCTTACGTTATTTTGTCAGAACGTCATGGAACAGACTAAAACCGTTTCTAATATTTGTAATGATGAGTACATAATATAATATTATAAGGGTACAGGCACCCCTTTATCACAGTGTTGTAAATATTTTCTGAAACTGGTACAGTACGGAGAGACTTGTATCTTGATATATCAAATATTGACTGTCTACATCAAATTGTACACAATATATTTGTTGATGGTCCTGTAACTAGTGTATGGACACATTTCTGGGTGCCTTAGAAGTTGTATTTTTCATGTGTGTTAATATGCAGTATTTATACATTGTGAGAAGCTGCTTTGAATAAAAACATTGAAACTTCATTGCAATTTAGTGATTTTCAATTTTACAGGAATCAAAATGATTTTGGTAAATAGATGCCATACGGAAAAGGGTGTATTATAAAGTGATATGGTAAAAACATTGAATACACTCCTACACTTTATAAGAAATTAGGCATACCGAGGTTTTTATTATGAGAGGACATTAAATTTAAAACTAATCATCCATCCAAAAATTGCAAAGATCACATCAATGAGAAGTTCTGTTAGTAATGTAATGAGTCTAACTTCATTCCACCTGACCTTCTGTTCACATCCAAGAAAATTAGCAAAGAATCATGGTCTTCAATATAATTTTCTAAGACTACTTCTACTCCACCATTGCTACCACCCTTGCTTTGACATATGCGAGTCATACGAAGTATGACACAATATGGCTCATACGCTCTAGAGCCCAGGACTGTCAGCAATTATGCAGTTCTAAATATAGGAGTGGCTGTGCGAAGAGATCTGGCTTTGGAAGGGTCATTCTGCACACAGGACTGCACTGTGCAAGTGGCACAGAGCCCTGTGTTGCAGCCAATGTGGAGCAGCACCATCCCAGTGGAATTTCAAAAGGGGCACAATCCTGTGGATTCATCTATGCATAGGGCTGATGTGCAGGCTGTGCCATGCTTAGTGCCTCCTCTCTGACCCACTTAAAAAAGTATGACCTCAGGGTCATAGAGAGGGAGCAGTCACTTAGTTCCCCCGAGCAGAACAGCAATACGAGAAACCTCTCGTGATGAGGCCTGGCTTATCGGTGGTGCTGCGTAGTGGTAAGGTCACTGGGTCCCAACTCTCCCCCATCTCCAGCATCCCTCACCAACAATCATGCCAACATTGTGGTGGTCCACCTTTCGGTAGGTAGTGACTCGGCCCTCTGGCTGGGTCGACAATTGAGTTCACCCCCTTCCAGGGTAAGAGAGTCCAACAAAACATAGAAGCCAATATCCTCACAAAAGAAAGGGTCTTCAGCACCTGTATGGGGCATGCCCTTGACACAGGGCTTACAAAGTCTCAAGCCTCTCCTCTGCCAGGGGTGAGGAGATTTATGCCCCC